ATTCTTTTTAATGGCTGAGTAATATTCCATGGTGTATATGTGCCACAGCTTCCTTATCCATTCATCTGCTGATGGGCATCTAGGTTGCTTCCATGTCCTGGCTATTATAAACAGTGCTGTGATGAACATTGGGGTGCACATGTCTCTTTCAGATCTGGTTTCCTCGGTACAGGGTTTATTCTTAAATGTCCCGTACAAGGTCTTCTTGCCTCAATGGCCTAACATTTTCACTCTAACAAAAACAGTGAGTGAGTGAAGTCGCTCAGTCGTGTCTGACTCTTTGCGACCCCATGGACTGTAGACTACAAGGCTCCTCAGTCCATGGAATTTTCCAGGCAAGAGTACTGGAGTGGGTCGCCATTTCCTTCTCCACTAACAAAAACAATGTCCTACAAATCTCAGGTACATTGTAAATTCTTTGGACAATAAAACAATACATGGGAATGGTCACAGTAACATGTTTGACATTTCTGAGAATAGTACCATGAGAAAAACCTTGATATTTTTCTTTACCTGAAACCACAAAATCTCAGTTTACAATGATTAACTATTAAACAGCAAAAACACCTCTAAAGCAGCAAAACACCTCTATTAATAGTGAGATAATGGCAGTGAAGCTGGTTAATATAAATCTTCTATTGAAATCCTATGTACTCCATTTTCTAACTCTACAAAAATACCCATAATCTCATGTTCTTTAAAAAAAGGGAAACAAATGAATGAAATAGCAATAATGAAAACTCTCTCAACCAAGGAGCAAGTAAACTGAAGCAGTATATCTACTTCTAAATCTAAATGCCTCTACTCTTTTCTATTCTAGAACATTATAATCTTTTAAGCAAGCAGCCAAACTATACCTGTGGCCTTTTCTTTTTTGACTTGATGTTTATGGTCGTATCCTGAACCAGAGCAATCATGAGCATTTCCAAAAAGGCTTGAACTTTTCCAGCGAGGCCTTATTACTATACATTATATTTCCAAAAATTAATAGAAAGCCCAACAACAGTAAGACAGAGGAGGAAAGGGACATACCGGGCCCCCGGCACAACCTCGAGGGGAAGAACTGCCTTGCAGATTCCTTTCTCATCCCGGCGGCTCCCTAGGGGACATATTGGGCCCCCGGGGCAGCCCCGTGTGAGGAAGAGCTGGCTTGCAGGTTCCTCTCTCATCCCGTGACCTTGTCACGGTTTGGGCACACCCGGCGGCTCCCGACATGTAACGATGACCCTATATGCAAGACAGCAAAAGAAACACAAACATAAAGAACAGACTTTTGGGAACTCTGTGGGAGAAGCCAAGGGTGGGATGATTTGAGAGAATAGCATTGAAACATGTATATTATCATATGTCCAGGTTCGATGCATGAGACAGGATGCTCAGGGCTGGTGCACTGGGATGACCTTGAGGATGGGATGGGGAGGGAGGTGGGAGGGAGGGTCAGGATGGGGAACACATGTACACCCGTGGCTGAGTCATGTGAATGAATGGCAAAAACCACCACAATATTGTAAAGTAATTAGCCTCCAGTTAAAAGGAAAAAAAAAGAAGCCGCAACTGGAGAACTGAAGTTGATGATACCTCCACTTTAGTTACACTGAGACCTATCATGTGTGCTGTACTTAGACAGTCCTTGCGATGTCATGGACTGTAGCCCGCCAGGCACCTCTGTCCATGGGGATTCTCCAGGCAAGAATACTGCAGTGGGTGTTCCTTCCGGAATACCTTCCTCCAGGGGATCTTCCCAACCCAGGGATCGAACGCAGGTCTCGCAAATTGCAGTCAAATTCGTCACCGTCTGAGTCAGTAGGGAAGCCCTAAAACTATTGAGAAGACAGTACCAGGGACCAGATGGGCTTCCCGGGAGGCGCAGACGGTGAAGAACCTACCTGCCAATGCAGGAGATGTGGGCTCAATCCCTGGGTTGGGAAGATCCCCTGGAGAAGGAAGTGGCAACCCACTCCTGCATTTTTGCCTGAGAAATTCCGTGGACAGAGGAGCCCCGGGGACTACCGTCCATGGGGTCACAGAGTCGGACACAACTGAACGACTAAACAACAAGGGCTCAGAATAGTTCTTAAATTACTTCTGTGAAAAGACTCTGAATTAACTAAGATCAAAACAGGAGGGCAGGTGAGTGAAATAAATGTTTGGGGACCACAAAGTGTTTCAGGATACCAAATCCAGCACAGTATTTCGAAGGGATGGCGCTGAAGAGCAGAACAGCTTGGACAGGAGCCGCTAGAGGGCGGCCGAGCACCGTGAGCCCGGCCGGTCACGGGATGTGACGCCGCAGCTGCCCAGATGCGGGACGCACAGACGCTTAGTCCCTCAGGCTTGTCCTCCAGCCTGCCGCCCCGTGGATTGTAGCTCGCCAGGCGCCTTTGTCCATGGAATTCCGAGTAAGAATCCTGGAGCGGGTTGCCATTTCCTCTTCCCGGGGGAATCTTCTGGAACCTGGGAAAGAACCCGTGTCTCCTGTGGTCTCCTACATTGCAGGCGGATCCTTTACCCTGAGGATTCTTTACATCGGAGAAGCCCAGATGTAGGGAAAATCCAGATGAAAAAACCTAGTGGGCAGGCTAAGCACATTAACCGGCCAGTCCTCACCACCCTCACCACTGATCCCACAGCTTCTTCTGAAGGGGAAGGGAGGCAGGGGCCTAAAGGAAGGTTATGGAACGGCACTGTCCGATAGAAACACGATACGCGAATTTTCCAGTAGCCACTTTACTCAAGGGAAAAAGGAACAGGTGACGTTAATTTTAACATTTTAAAATTCACCCTCATGTATCCAAAATGTTATCATTTCAACATGTGATTAATATAAAAATTATAGGGATATCTTAATTTTAAATTTTTTGCTATACAGCAGAAACCAACACAGCACTGTAAAGCAATAATTTTCAAAAAAAATTTTGGTATTAAGTTTTTGAAATTCGGAGTGTATTTTCTATTTATTATAGCACTTCTCCTTTTGGACGAGGTACATTTCAAGGGTTCAATAGCCACTCATGACTATTGATATTTAATTTCTCCCAGGTAAGTACCCCATGCTGGATGAGGGCCTTTCTGAGGATTCCAGTAGTGTCCCAGGGTAAAGATCAGACCAAGGACCCCTCCTGGTCCAGTCTACAGCCTTGACCTACAGCCCTCGCCTCCTCCCCGGAAAACACCTCCCATACAGGTTTCTGCCTGGTGCTCTTTCCTCTGTAAAGTCCTTTCCCCTAGCCCAGCCCCACTCCTTAGCCTGTGTTCCTAGAAGTGTTTGGGTCATACCTCTAGACACCTGTCACGTGACATCACGAGTTATGCTGGAATCTAGTTCCTCATACCAGGGCATCAGCCTTGTGCCTAGTGACCAGGCCCAGGCCCAGGGCAGGGAGCTGGACACGTTTGATTTCTGGCTCAGCTGCCTACTTAGTTGGTGCTGTGCTTGTATTTAGTTGTGTCTGACTCTTTGTGACCTCATGGACTGCAGCCCACCAGGCCCCTCTGTCCATGGGGATTCTCCAGGCAAGAATACTGGAGTAGGTTGCCATGCCCTCAGTACCTTAAACAAAAATCTTAAATTCGCTTGCTTCAGAGGTGTCATGAGTGCTTTTATCAAAAAGAGTTCCTGATATATAGTGGATGTTTTCTGAATGCTGGTTTCTTATCATCAAAGATAATGACTGTGCTATATGTGTCTCTGAATTAAAATATGTTAGTTTCCTTACAACCATTAAATGGCATAACAGTAAATTGATATGGAAGGCAACTTGGTTACAACCTGAAACTCATCAAATGCACTGCCCTTTGACCTAGCAATTCCACTTCTAGGGAATTATATACCAGGTTGGTGCGAAAGTAATTGGGGTTTCAGGTAGTGAATTTTAAATCATTACAACTAGATTCGAGCACATCTCTATTAGTCAAAATAAGAACCATTACAATCAACACATTTTTGCCAATGAGAAATATTTGTTTACTCCTGTAGGTTAAAAATCCAAGCTTTGGGAGTCAACAAAGTCTTGGAAATTTTCTGCCTCCTCCTGGTTGTGAAAGCCTTTTCCCAGCAAAAAGTCGTCGAGATGTCTGAAGTGCTAGTCAGTTGGCTAGAGGTCAGATGAATATGGCAGATTAGGCAAAACTTTGTAGCCCAATTCGCTCACCTTTTGAGCATTGGTTGTGTAACGTGCAGTCAGGTGTTGTCCTGGAGAAAAATTGGCCACTTGCTATTGACCAGTGCTGGCTAGAGGTGTTGCGGTTTTCAGTGCATCTCATTGATTTGCTGAGCATACATCTCAGATATAATGGTTTTGCTGGGATTCAGAAAGCTATAGTGGATCAGACTGGCAGCAGACCACGAAACAGTGACCATGACTTTTTTTGGTGCAAGTTTGGCTTTGGGAAGGGCTTTGGAGATTCTTCTCGGTCCAACCACTGAGCTGGTCGTCGCCAGCTGTGGTATAACATCCACTTTTTGTCGCATGTCACAACTCGATCAAGAAATGGTTCATTGTTGCTACAAAGAATAAGATAAGACGCCTTTCAAAATGATGATTTTTTTGATTTGCAGTCAGCTCATGAGGCTCTCTCTTATCAAGCTTTTTCACCTTTCCAATTTGCTTCAAATGCTGAATGACCACAGAATGGTTGATGTTGAGTTCTTTGGCAACTTCTTGTGTAGTTGTAAGAGAATCAGCTTTGAAGATTGCTTTCAACTGGTCATTGTCAATTTCTGATGGCCAGCCACTGAGCTTCTCATTTTCAAGGCTCTCAACTCCTTTGCAAAATTTCTTGAACCACCACTGCACTGTAGGTTCGTTAGCAGTTACTGGGCCAAATGTGTTGCTGATGTTGCAAGTTGTAACTCAAATAAGAAAATAGCTCAAATTTGCTTTTTGTATAGCATCATTTCCATAGTCTAAAATAAGTACAAAATAAATAGCAAGTAATAAATCTTCAGCAAAAAAACAAAAAGTGAGAAATGTGCATTAAAATGATGTATAAAATAACCACATTTATTTAAGAATGTATTCCAATATCAAACAGCAAATTTCAACAATGTAAAAACAGCAATTACATTTGCACCAACCTATGAATATGGCAAATCAATTTCTCTCCTATGTGAGAAATTATGTATGCACAAGAAAGTCATTGTAGGAAAAGGTTGGGAGCTACCTAATTGTCAAACACTAGCGAGCTGTTTAAACAAATTGTAATATATCCATCAGAGAGGATATAATGCCGTCATGAACAAGAATAACATGGCTCTATGTACAGTTGAAGGAACCACTTTCCCAAAAAAGAGAGAGAGAAGTGCAGAAGAATGTGGAAAATGTTCAGAAGTGCAGAATGCAAAAACTAAAAGGAAAGGTTGTATGTGTGAGTGCTTATATGTGAAATGAATATTTCTGGGAGGAATTCCAGAAAATAAAGCTGCAGAACTGGGCTTCAGACATGAGGAGGAGGCTGGCTTTTCACTGACTACTCCTTTTTGAATGCTATATGATGTGCATGTACATCAATTAAAATTTTCACTAAAAATAAAAGCTAGCACCTGAAGATATTCCGTCTTGGTGTTAATATTTCTCTAAAAAATGATAGACAAATGGCAAATAGATCAATGAAAAGATGTTCAACATCACTAATCATCAGGGAAATGCAAATCAAAACCACAATGAGATATCACCTCACACCTGTCAAAATGGCTATCACCAAAAAGACAATAAATAATGAGTGTTAGAGAGGATGTGGAAAAAGGGAACTTTTGTGCAAAGCTGGTGGGAATGTAAATTGGTACAGTCATTCTGGAAAACAGTATGGAGGTTCCTCAAATACTTAAAAATAGAACTACCATATGATTCAGCAATCCACTTTTGGGAATAAATCTGAAGGAAATGAAAACACTCTCTCAAAGAAATATCTGTAAGCCCATGTTCATTGCAGCCTTATTAACAACAGCTAAGACAAGGAAATAACCTAAATGTCTATCGATGGATGAATAGATAAAGAAGATATGCATTCAGTTCAGTCCAGTTCAGTGGCTCAGTCGTGTCTGACCCTTTGTGACCCCATGAATCGCAGCACACCAGGCCTCCCTGTCCATCACCAACTCCCGGAGTTTACTCAAACTCATATCCATCAAGTTGGTGATGCCATCCAGCCACCTCATCCTCCGTCATCCCCTTCTCCTCCTGCCCCCAATCCCTCTCAGCATCAGGGTCTTTTCCAATGAGTCAACTCTTCACATGAGGTGGCCAAAGTGTTGGAGTTTCAGCTTCAGCGTCAGTCCCTCCAATGAACACCCAGGACTGATCTCCTTTAGGATGGACTGGTTGGATCTCCTTGCAGTCCAAGGGACTCTAAAGAGTCTTCTCCAACACCACAGTTCAAAAGCATCAATTTTTCGGTGCTCAGCTTTCTTCACAGTCCAACTCTCACATCCATATATGACCACCAGAAAAACCGTAGCCTTGGCGAGACGGACCTTTGTTGGCAAAGCAATGTCTCTGCTTTTTAATATGCTAACTAGGTTGGTCATAACTTTCCTTCCAAGGAGTAAGCGTCTTTTAATTCCATGGCTGCAATCACCATCCGCAGTGATTTTGGAGCCCCCCAAAATAAAGTCTGACACTGTTTCCA